ACCTAAACCTTGGTACATCATGCTAATTGTATTTTTTTTAATAATAATAAAAAGACCATAAACCTTGGTACATGATAAACTATATTATTTCAATAATAAAGAAAGACATTTGTTTCCTTTTGTGGGAGCAATCCTAAGTTCATGTAATATTATTTTTAGTAAATACCATTAAATGAGAATTAAAGTATTTCAACAATGTTGAAATGTAGGAATATGAGGCCTGATCAAAGAAAGTAAACTGATGAAGAATAAACCACATTTTATTATATTTATTATCATTTTCCTTGATTTACAAATTTGTTGCTTAATAGAATGATGTAATTATTGTAAATACTTAAGTTATAATCAATGTTATTTTCACTATTAATTCTACTAGTTGTATTGAAGAAGCGAAATAGATATTCCACAATACACCTTTATTTAGTAAGCTCAAATTAAATTTKTRTGTCTGTTTTGGACTATCTGACACTTTTTAAAGTGTCAATATAAAAAAAAATAGCCAAGTTTTCTTTCACATGTCTAATGAACTCATTCTAATGTTTACCCTATATTTTATAAATAATTTTCTAAGCCATAAAAATAGTTTTCTATGGGTGTCTAGAAATGTTCAACATTATATTACATGACATTTGTACACCTTTTTTACATTTAATTATTAAGTTAAATTATTATATTTACTAATGTCAGTCCCTAACAGCACGTCAGATTGCCCACTTTGAAGTAACAATTATGAATGGCAGCAATTGGCCAATCTTATAGACTACACTATATTGTTGCCATTATTGTGTTATAAACAATTATATAATTCAGGGATGCCAACCCCCGAACTTTTAAAATCTTGAGAACGAAAATGATGACGTCATACCGGAAATGACGTTTCATAACATTATCTATGACATCATCGCATTTATCAAATTTCGTTAAAACTAGTGATTTGATTGGATGTATCTTAACCAATCATATTATAGAAATGTATTTTGCAATTGAAAATGGCCGCGGATGGCGTGCAGTGTTATTGTTATCAGAAGACTGACAGAAGACTGGGATTTTTGTATTTTTTCAGAACTAAAATGATATGCAAAGTAATTTGGGTGACGAAAAGAGATATTTCAAAAAACTGATATATGAATCGTCATTATCCGGGAGATTTAGCGGTAAAATCTTAAGACCAGGAGAAACGGTCAAAAATCTTGAGACTCCCGGATTATCCGGGAGAGTTGGCATCCCTGATAATTGATAGAGTGGATGCACTATGTGTGAAACAAATAGTACTAATCACTACGAACTAGTCTATAAAATACGTAATAAAAAAAGGATTCATGAGGGATTAAAGTAGTAAGTTTGTACTATTTTGTACCATTTATAGTTCCAATTGATCAATTGCATTGGCTCTATCATGCAACTATACACCTTAAAACTTCAAAAACAAATTTCCCTACTGTATATATACTCTCATTGGTTGAGCGTCAACCATCTGATGCAACAGTGCCTGCTGCGGCGGGGTGGTACTATCAGTGCATAGAATTATAGCCATTTTTGAAAGTTTTGTTGATGATAAAAACACTAGACAAGTTATTACATCTCAGCCAAATGCTTTCATCATTGGCTTTGGAAACTGGACTGCATTTATGAAGACTATTTGATTATTACAACACCTGTTGTACATGTACATGTAGTTTCAACTGGAAAATATMACAGCACAACATTTGTCCTTGATTTGACTACTCCTATTGTTTAAATAATAACTGATATGAATCATGTTAGCCTAAAATTATTAACATTTCTCCTAGAGTGACAGACTGTGATCATTTTTAGTGCAGAAATGTTAAGGAATTGAAGAAACACATTTTTTAACTACACAAAGGTATAATAACATWATCTGCTTACAGGATGCCATATGAGACACTAGTGACAATTGCGAGATGGAATCACTGAATCACAAATACCATGACATATTTTGCTACATATTTTGGACAAAATAGATTGGGACATCATCAGCGAAATGGTGGTTTTATCAAGTTGCGCTACTTACCCTCCCTCCCTCCCTTTTCCCCCTCCCCTCCCCCACCACCGACTATGTTGTTGTATGTGACGCCATAAGGCTTGGTAATGCACACAATGCAAAAATGGGCACAACATTGGGGGATGGAAGGGGGAGGCATGAATTTTGTCATATTGTYAAAATGATAAGTGACTTGTATATTAGGCCGATTTAGACAGTGGAACTTTTGCCTACAACTGTTGCATGCAACATGCCTAAGTCATCCTTACTACATGTCTACAACTTTCGCAGAGATAAAAAACAATTGATTGACAACCCTATGACAGGGTAGCCATGTTAAGATGACTTAAAAGCATGTTGCATGCGATAGTTGTAGGCAAAAGTTGCACCGTCTAAATCAGCCTTATAGTTTTGTGTTGCAATGTCCCAATTAAAATGTCCATGATTGTAGCTATCTCTATTCATCCATTATTGACATTATTTATGATATCTAATCATACTCGGCACCGATGGTGATGCTGATGTCTCCAGGAAGAACCTCCGTCTTGTGAAACCATTGGTTGGTGTCAACAATTACTGGAAAAAAGTTCATTTGTTAGTACAAGAGCATGCCTATGAATTTTTTAACTGCCATAGATTACCATAGGGGAGGGGAGGGTGGGGGCWGTGTATACACGGGCTTGACTATGACATCACAACATTCAAAATGCATGTACTGTACTGTATATAGCATCATAGAATTAACTATTGTTCTTGAAATTATTATACCACTTACACACACAATTATAATAATCATGATAATTACATAGTTCATTCTCTTGTAAAAACGACACAGGAATCTCATGAAGGAGATTTTTGTATTAAAAGTGTATTTTGTACAATTATGTACATTTCTCGTACCTTTCTCAGTTTCCCAAATGAAAAATTGCAAGCTCTGCATGGTTGGTGCTAAATGCTTAGGGACTTTGATTTGATCATCAGATGTAAAATGTATGCATCATATCATACAATCCAGATTCTAGGTCCTCCAGTGTTGTTTCCAGCCAGAGCTTTCAATTTTTCATTGGGAAACTGAGAAAGGTACGAGAATGTACATAATTGTACAAAATACACTTTTAAATACAAAAATCTCCTTTATGGGATTGCTGTGTCGTTTTTACAGGCAGCCCAACTAAATAAGAGGTACAGTACTTACTGACTTCTCCTTTATGGATTGGTGCTTTTAGTGTCTTACAAACATGTTCGCATTCAGGGGGAGGTATGAGGGTCCAAACTTTGCTCCCAGATAACTGTGCTTGCCATGATGGTCTGTCAACATTGTCAATCTAGAKAACAATACCAAGTGATATATTAAAAATAAAAATTGATAATAAAAGATGGGTACTCCCATATATTTGCTATACAGGGAAGTGCCGCTGGCCAGGGTATGGTTTTTGGCCTTGCTGTCTTAAACAGGGTATACATTTCACCCGAAATTGGCTCAAACAGGTTCTACAATTTAAATAAAAGACCAATATAATTTCTTTTATGTCTATGGACCGGACAGGGCAATATTTTAATAAGAAATACAGTAGAAATACCGTTTCACTGTACAGTAGCAGGATTAACGTGTTCTCAAAAACTACTTAATTGTCTTTGATGGATGTCAGTATAATTGCAGTTTTGATGGTTGCAGCATAGATAGCAATTCCTTATTTTTCCGATTTGTCTTGAACAGGGTATGAATTTTTGCTTTCTAGTGTCTTAAACAGGGTTAGGGTTTTAGACCGCTGGCGGCACGTACCTATCCAAAACGGGGTCAAGTAACTAACTAACTTACAAGGAGTTTAAAAATTTGAATAACAAAGAAAATACAAAAAGCTTTCTTCTGTTAGTTGTTGTAAAATGACACCATATTGCGTGTACTATGTGATTTACTAAAGTGTATTGAGTGTGTACTGGATTTTCTGAAGTTTCTGTGAAAAATATTTCAATAAACTGTACATTTTAATAAGTGACAATAAGGATGAGAATAACAAGAAAGAGAATAACAAGAACGATGGGAATGTGAGTGCAATATTAGGAACAAAAGTGGGAATAATAGTAAGAATTGGAATAAGAAAGAAAAAAAACAAATAATGAGAATAGAAATACAAATAGAAGCAAGAATTAWAATAAAAAGTCACAAATACAATACATGAGCGACATACAAGAATAGGAGTGAATCATAGTTGATAAAATAATAAAATTATAGCACAACAAAAGTGAAATAATTATGATTGACAGCAATAATAAGCTATACCTACATACCAATCACTCCACTAGATTATTAATAATATTCCAAGCCTCCTTAGTTTAATGTTATTTGTTGAAATTGTTACTGCCTCACAAGTTAGGAGGAGYCAACTGGTTCCTGGGAGAAATATATATGTTCTTATGTCCCAGACAGCTGTAAGTCACAACTGATTGCCAGCGAAAAATTCAGGAAAAAAGAACTCTCAAGGCAAGGAATACTTAATTCAAATAGTTTTTACTAGGAAAATAAACTAAGATTTCCTAACTAAAAATTATAAGACGTTTTTGACTGAAAAAAAGGTTATAATATTGAGCTTTTTTTGACCTTACTTAAAAACGTTTGCCAGGAACAAGATTGTTTTAAAGAAAGGCACCACATTTGCTTGTGAGATTGTCAACATTAGCTTGAAATCCCTTTCCCAGGAAAAAATTAGTACAAAGAACATTCATTTAGAACAAAGACCCCATCGGCTCCTCCTGACAAGTTTAGGAGTAAAGTGATATTGTTTGCACATTCAGTTGTCTCTTTCCTACGTACAATTGACAGTTTTCATTTGTTTAAAGATAGAGTGGGCTTCAAAAGCATTATAGGATCACATATTAAGCATAAAATTTGACAGAATATCACCAAATTACTTTAAAAACTACTACTATAATTTACAGAAAACTAATTTAAAATCAAACAATACAATAGGAAAAGGAGAACTGAACATCTGTCAAAGTCTTTGACAAACAAAATTGTAATTTAATATTGGCATTTAATATACATTCAAGCGACAACAAAAGAAAAAAACTAATATTAATATTATGTTTAGAATTGCCATAACTTGGACTCCCTTTCAACTCACAAAATAATATACTGTAATATTGATATTTTCTAGAATGCATGAAAGTGAAAATTTAAACAAAATTGAGTAACCACGGCTTAAAAGGAACTTTATAAAAGTGTAAATTATGATACACCTACTTGCGAAAACGTTGTCATAGAAAATAGGACATTTGTATTTAGTAAAAAAGGAATAAATCAAAAAAGACTAAAATCACTGAATCACTGAAGATCACTGAGGCTGAACGCTTTCTTTTGTCTTGTTTTAATTTATTCCTTTTTACTAGATTCAAATGTTCTATTTTCTATGACAACGTTTCTGCAAGTAGATGTATTTTAGAAAGAAAGGAAAAACAGATTTCAGAAATAATTATTGTCAAAATAATTATATATTTAAATAAAATTCATTTTCTTCAAAAGCACTTATTATTTTCAAAAAGGAATTCAATATTTTGACAACTTGACTTTGTTGACTTGTCAGGTTTCTATTCTAAAATAATGTTGATGGTTTTTAATTTGAAAGAAGACAAACTTCAATGGAAGTGATGTTCTCAAAACAAACAAAGGATTACAACAAAGGACTCTGCTAATCTCTTTTGTTMATCTAAAGAATTAACCCACATCTAAGTTATAAGTACTGGTAATAGAATAAGGAGATAAAAGCTAACCTAACTTAAAAGTTCTTCAGAAACCATAACTGTTCTCCAGAAACCATAACTGTACTAAATGTATATTAATAATAATTTCAAACAAGCTGTTAACTTACATGTATTTGTGCACCCAATCCTGGTCCTCCCATAAAAATCCAATCTTGTTGGCTYGTTTCAGAGTCTGTTGGCAAGAAATAAGGTATCTGGTAGTGCTGGCGAAGCTTGTCTCGGACAACAGGATCACAATTACTCCTGAAAATTTAACCAAATGTTAAATTTGGATTTTATAAAAAATATGTACTGTAGTGATTAAAAATTGAAATATGAGAAGTAAAAATCCATTTCATTTTAACCTAGTAAGAAATTTGATATATTGTATTTTTGGGTAGTGCTATTAAACAACATATATCCTGTCGTCTTAATTGCTTTTCACTTTTCATGTCTGTTTTTTTTTGTTTTCCAAGTCGCCAGTTCTTAGACAAGGTGTTAAATGAGAAACATAAACTCCAAACTTGAACAACAACTGCAACTTATTGCTCTGAGAAGTTTTCCATCTCAAATATTTCTTAGCCTTTTAGGCTTGAACAACAAAATTATTTTATAATTCATAAAAAGTGTTCTTAAGTTAGAATTTTGCAATTCCCACAATTTTTTTTACAAAGTGTAAAGTCATTTTGTCACATACCACTTTATTCTATGTGCCAAATCTAACATTTGTTGAATTTTAGAAATTTTAAAAATAGCTCTGGTTTGCTTTTTTTTTATTTTTAAAGTATAGAAATAAACAAGTGAGTTGATAATATCAATTCACTTCCATTGCATTTGGAAGCTATTAAATTGAGTAATTGTAACAAGCCAAGAGCAGTTTCCTTCCTTGGAAATGTATTATCTATTAAGTTCATCATCAACTTGTCCCTTCATTTTCTTTTCACAAATAAAAGAAAATTCATTTTTACCATTCTCAATGATAWTTTTTAACTAATAAGTAAGAAAAAAATAGTAATAAAATTGATATTTCTGCATATTTCCCAGATGTTAATTTTTCCCCATTTTGTTCTACTTCTTTTTTCCCTTCTATTTCTTCTTCTTTTTTCATTCTTTTACTTGATGTATTTTTATCTAACAAAACAAGATGTGCTTTTGATAAAATAGAAAACAAATTGGCTGACCAATGATAAATATGATACTCTTTGTGATAAAATCTGAAGTAACTTACTATCGACAATAAGATAAATATCTAAAGAAAATTATTGTTCAAACATAACATGTCGAGCAAATTAAYTTGCGAATTTCTTCTAATTCCAATATTCAGGATTCGACGGAGCTTATAGTCTGAGAAAGTGAAAGATTATTTTTACATGTCAAATGGCACGTTTCCTATCCAGCTGAAATCTGGCAGGTGAAGAGGGCTTTTTGAATAGAACGCAAAACAGGAAAAAACACGACATTAAATGGACGCGATGAGCAAGCTAGTTTTGAAAAGAAATGAAAACTGACTTATGCACCTTAAGATAATATCCAAAACAATGAGGCATGATAGCCAAAATGGTTTAAAAATCATTGAAATCACTGAAATATTATAAGTATTAAGTTATGGAACATTTCAAGGAAAGCTTAATTAGCAATAAAAATGCGGAACAGCAATTTCGAGACGCATAAAAAAGTCTTTAACTGATGTTTTGATATACGGAGAAGATATTGAAGTTTGACCCATACTGTTTTAATATCAAACTTATGCTACATGTACTTTTAATAATTAATCTGCATATCTTAAGCCTTATATTAAATCAARAGCGGGAATTGGATTTGCATTTATCCTGACACGTTCGTATAGTTTGCATGGCAGAGTGGTCGAGCTAAAACCATCACAACTAAAATAAAAATAACATTCATGAATCATTCTGCTTACCAGCCAAAATACCACGGTTCCCCCCTTAGCTCTGATCTCTCCTTAGACATATTGAAAGCCTCTTTCAACGAAGTGAAGTTCGTTTTGTAAGGGAAAAATTGACAGTCATTTTCGGTCGTGTCGTAAGCACCGTCGTTTGAGTCATAAAGATGCTTGAGAAAMGTGAAATTAAATGTTTTCAGAGCTGACCAGTTTACCGCTGCATCAACTATAACTGCTGGCCTTCCATTATACGCGTATTTTTCAACAAAAGTTTGTTTTGTTAGACCAGAAAGTCTTGGAACTTCGTCCAGTCCTTCGCACATCATGGAGCAGTTTGTGGGTYTTCGAACCATTTCGTTAAAAATCTCGTTCACATTGAGAAGACAAGGGTCGTCTTTGTAGTGCTTTATGAGGAATTGCGTCCCGTAATACCCTCCAGATGCTAGGAGTACAGGAACTACGACGAATACTACGAATAAAGTTCTCTTGGAGCGGCTACTCCATCCGTGACGTTTAGTTTGACTTTTAACATCTCTTTTGAATTCTTGTTTGATTTCTTCTAGCGATGCGCCAGACTCGATGGCCTTCTCACGAAGCTTAGAGAAYTGTTCTACAAGTTCTTCTGTTATTGAAGTCATTTTGATTAAGAAACTTTCAAGAGAGAGGAGTTCGGCACTTGACAGTAACCGCTTAAATAAGAAAACTTACGAGAGACTGGACACGAGTGATTACACAGGAATCCCATTCAAMACATTCTGGATTAGTTCAATTCAAAAATCGACATCCCATACTTATTACATATGAGCTAGTCATTTCTCAATATAAAATTACATTTTACCAGACTAGTATTTTCAGTCTGCCATCATTCATGATTAAAGCTTAGCTGTCATGCATAATCAGTCACGTGCAACATGAAGCCATTCCTGAATGTACCGATCATTTGGTATTTATATAACTTGTTATTTTTTTTTTTATTTCGTTAATACAGTCTGAAATTCTCTTCCAAGAGTTAAGACTTATCCGGTAAATATATRAATAATAATTTGAGTGACTGCCGTAACAATATTACCATTTCAAACGAAGGTTAGAAACGTAACGGATTCTGATTGGCTAGTAAGCCTGAGTTTCATCCATACTTATTATTACAATATATGGAATAAAATAATTACTAAGAGAGAGAAGATATTGCATTTTCGCGCGGAGATATTGAATTTATCTTTGCTGTTGAAAAGATTTTCAACACGAGAAGATAAAATTCGTATCCCCAAGCGACTATATAATAATTTGTTTATCATATAATTATATATGAAAGCAAATTCTGTTGCGAAATACCCTTTTTCTTACTTCCACTATATAGAGAAACTTCGAATGTGATTATTTTCACCATGTAGTGAAAAAAAAATACAACTTTTCGAAAGATAGAAAATACTGATTATTTCTAGATAAGTATATATATTAGTAAAATACACTGTGTCAAATATAGAATACATTACTTTTAATCACATTGTGTCAGTAAAATAAAGCCTATTTATAAAAGATGATTTAAAGCGCTTATTGTTGATTCTAGAAAGAAGACTACATGATTTCTAACCATTCTTAAAGAAGATATTTTTCAACTGTAGAAAAAAGATTATGTAGTGGGTGGTTGAATATAACGGCTTTGTCATAAATAAAAAAGATCTGATTTATCAAATAAACTAAAAATAAAAAGGGAATTAATATCCCTTCCCTTGTAACAACTACAAGAAAATTTTGAACTGTTGTTAATTTTCGAATGCGGAAATCTTATAATAAACGGATCTAACAGAGCTGACATGCATAAGTTGTCGCCTAAACGTAAGCATTCGCTTCTCTTCCTTTTTTTGGCGGCACGCAATGCATTAAGGGAAGAGTGAAGGAAGAGCTCATTTCTCAGTCTACCTTCCCATCAACCCCTTCGAGGCAAGGCAAAATCTACCTAACATGTCAATCACACTGTGACGTCATATATGTGTTACCAGTCTAGTCAATCACGCAGATTCACGTCAAGGAACATTTTACGTCACTACCAAGAGTTTTTCCGATTCTTCCAGGACATTTAAAGGATTTCAAGTAGTATAGGACTCACCCTGCTTTAAACACGGTCGGTCCAACATTTTCAACAGTTTAGTGCTCCATCTAGCTAACGCTCAACAATGTAATATTAACTTTGTTCAACTTAGTAAATAAGTGGCGTGGCGCTGTATGACATCATCAACTTATAGATTCTTTAACAAAGTAGTTCCATACGATCTATAAGGACTGCGCAATATTTATAAGGAGAGGGCGAGGGGTGTATGGGGGAGGAGGTGCATGAGGGAGGAGGTGCATGGGGGAGGGGTGTATGGGGGAGGGGTGCATGGGGGAGGGGTGTATGGGGGAGGGGTGTATGGGGGAGGAGGTGCATGAGGGAGGGGTGCATTCGATGGGGAAATCCAGAGGGGTGGGGAATATCTAATTTTATGTGCTTAAAGAGGGGGCAAAGTCTAAAATTAACTAGAACTTAAATAGGAAACTGAAAAATCAACGGTGTCAGATTCGAAAACTACTCTTGTTTACCTCTTGGCTTTCATCGCCGAACTATTGAGGCGGTCGTCGTTGCGGCGGGGTTGTCTTTATTCAGATCACGAATAATCAATGAATAAATTCACGGAAGAGGGAGGAGGCAGAGCCTAATTTATTTTGTTTGCGAGGTGGGGATAGTAATTAACTTGTTTTAATTTTTTGGCTCATTTCTCAACCCTTCCTGATAAATATTGCACAGTCCCTGAATTGGCTTCATAGCAACGCGAAGAAATCGATCATTTTGCAAAGTTTCTTTTATTACACACGTTCAAGTTTTACAATACTTTTTTTCACAGTTATTTTAAAAATTCAAATATTTCAAACATTTACATAATAAAAATCAACAATTCCCTTTTTGCTTTAAAATTTCTCATTAAAAATTTGATTGAAAGAACAGATTTTCGACTGTTCTGTGGTCTAGAAATACGCTATAACACTATACAACTATAAGGTCATCATAAGTCTTACCACTCAGTGGCAGACTAATCGATAAATCTATTTCATTATAATCGATTTGTCGTATGCGATTTGTCGCGTGCGATTTATCGGTAGTTATCGATACGACTTTCGAATGTGAACCTCATGCGAAAGCTACTTTTCTATAGCTAATAAATATAGTAAAACATCCGTGATATTGTGATTTACGATGAATTTGTCGAAAGCGACAAATCGCATACAACAAACTTACTCGGTCTCTAAACAATAAATAAACTATCTCTATACAATACAATTGTACATGGTTTACCATCGAGCAGCGAAAATAATAGCATCTTCGGCTGTTCAGGCGTGAAATTATAACATAAACYACTTCACATTTTAAGGTTTGGTTCGCTACCGACCCTACAGTCAAGACATGGATTAAATTCAAATTTTGTATATGCTAAAAACTGTGTATTTAGAGCACATAAGTAAGGGATTGTGTGGAAGCGAAATGATAGTCACAATGGATGAAAACCGCTGAGTGTCTCTCGTAAACTTATAATTTGATAGGTAATTTTCAGTGGCGCCATGTTTTAGAGCGAAGCCAGCAAAGCATCATAGGAAATTCGCTATTCCAGTTTTACTTGCAAAAATTCGTTCACACGAATGTTCTAAATGTTCTATTTTCTATGACAACGTTTCTGCAAGTAGGTGTATGTGTTTTCTTTGCAAAAATGCCAATGCCTGTGCCTGTCCTGCATAGAAATCAGCCAGGACTCAAATTCCCATGATGCTTTGTTCTAAAACATGACATCGCTGTACATTGCATTTTGTAGGCTCACCTGTAACCGAAAACCTTTGCGATCGTTTGCTTTATTTTACAAATGGTTCGTTGTTGAAAGTTGCTAGTTCTGTTTGGTTCAAAATCAAAGATGGAGATTTTTCGTGTGTGAGAAAATCGCGCAAAGCCTCTCGGATACAAGTGAGCCTTTAACGCTGGTCATGTTCTAATAGTCGATCTTTGACAGGAAAAAACTGCGAGAACTCGAAATTTTGATATTGTAGTATCAAAATATGTTTAATGATGGCATTAAATCCCAAAAAAGAAGCTCAAGAAGTCAACCTCGTACCCAGGGCTTTCTCTTCCTCGCTATTTACAAGAAGTTTCAATTCATAGTTCTGCACCATTCCGTGAAAGGACTGATTTGCCTTGCCTTTGCATCAAAGTACGACAACCAGCAAGCTCGCAATGCATGACAGACTGTTTTTTCACCCGTGCAATTATTGACAGGTGTCGATCATTACAAGTTAACCGGCCGTCTCTTTTCAATTAAAAGGCCAGGTTACCTTTCAAGATGGCGCAGGGCACTGCGAAGAACACTTCTGCAATTTCAGTTTTGTCATTCGGTAAATTCCTGTCAATCTCAAAACGACTATTTCCCAGTGATCAACGGTACATTCAAGGAGAAGCCTTCCCAATGTCTCTATATTTTGTAGACAGTGGGCCATGAATCTAACTACGTCAATCCTCAGTCAAGTTAACAAATCGAACTATTCGTATAAAACGTCTCGACAATATCTAATTATACAAACGGAAAACTTACAAAGTACCACGTGGCTTTTATGTGTTTTAGTGTTTACAGCTCTGTCATCCACTTTTATAGTCGAATGGGCAATGAGCATTAACAAGTCAGCGGCACAATCACGTGACTATTGATGCAAATTGCCTATTCGTGACGTTTCTGGCAAGAACTCGCACTTTTGATAACGTTCTCCATTGAGAACAAATGAGTCTCAGAGTCCAAACGYTTTTTTTAGTGGACATGAGCTAAAAAAGTTCACAAAAATTCCTACCAACATGGATTCGGTCACGGACTCGTCAAGTGATTTTGATTGATCACTTGGTGCATTCTTGTTACTGACCCTCCCCTCCCTTATAACTATTAGTAGTAGCTGTACATTAATATGGTGCGTATCGAAATCCTGTTCCATATGCTACTGAGGGGGGTGGTGCTGCGATTGGTGTTCGATAAGCCGCTGGGGCTGCTGCGTAAGCTGTTGCCTAGAAATGATTTTATAAAATATGGTTAGAAATGGCTTACGAATGCGCGTATTGTCCTCCTTTGCAGACGTTATTAGCATCGGTCATACGTTCCTACTTATCTGCAAAGGAGGCTAGCGCAAAGACCTAACCAAAGCTGAGGTTTCGATCGGTGGATACTCTGTGGATACGATGACGCTGATATATATGGGGAATATGTTGTACTTACCGGGTACCCTGTGGTGTAGGCGAGTTCATAGCTGGAAAATAAACGAATAAATAAAACATAAGAGGGTACTCTTATAGCCTCTTAACCCTCCTCATCGTCCCCTTAACCCTCCTCCGCTACCCCATGTCCCACCACAGGAAGCCCAAAGTCAAAGAAGCTACGCCAATGACGCGAGCAACAAAATATGAAGAGATGCAAGACAGAACATCAAGAGATGAAAATACCTTGGGTATGCAGCGCATGTTGGYCTTCTTAAATAAGCCTAAACATAAAGGTCAATGAGTATTTTATGATTACAGGTCAAAAGAGCTGATACACTCAACATACCAGACAAAACGGTATGGTGATAATAAGGTCTTTATAACAAGAACGGTATCTTAATAAGGTATTTATAAAATCACGTTGATAAAAGAGGATTACGTTTTGCCATCATTGGATTGACCTGGAGGTGACCGATTTGTCTTTAAGATAATCTGAGTGACGTTCAAAAGTTGTCTGGGGTTTTTCATACTGCCGTGTGTCTATAACCTTTGATTTAATCGAAAAGTATTTAAATTTTTGTCATTTTAGGCCACGCAAATGACGTTAACTGAGGATTGTGTTTAACCGCTGTCTGCCATCTTGAATTGAGGGAAGTCAAAGAGTCCATATATTAAAAAGCCTCTAGCTATTAATACTATGGAAACTTAGAAGATTTAGTTATTTACATTTACGAAAAATTGAAGTTTTAAATTCGTGATTCATAATAACCGAACTTACTTAGCTAGGCTATTAATATACAAATTTGTTCCACAATCCACATTTTACGATATGGAATCAACGTAGAGTTCAAACACAAAGACCATAGCGGAAAACCGTGTACAAATGAAATAGTGTTATTTGTCAATGATTGATTGGCGACTATTTCTTTTTGATTAGTACTTTTTCATGGTTTTAGTTGGAATCTTGAATGATGAAGAAATAATGATATGCAAATTTGGCCTAATTTCGTGCAGCTCAAAATTTGAATTTTTGTATGATCAGAACAGCTAAATGTATAATTTTCGATTTTTGCTCAATCTTTAAGTACAATTATTGAATCTTATAGCATTTTAGAGCCGCGGTACAGTCTACTAAGTATTAATTTCTTGTATAAACTGCTCGGGTGTTCCATTGTTTCTTACTATAACGACTCTACTATCTAGCCCATACCAAATAGAATTCAAGATGGCGGCCAAAATGAGGTCTATTGCATTGAAAAAGGTGAGTGCGCAGATTGGTACATACCGCTTGCCATAATTGGTCAGCATATGCTTCATAGAGACTGCAATACGAATAAAAATACTTTAATAATGGTAACGATAATGTCAATAATAACATGGATAATAATAATTGTAATAATAATGATGATGATGAAAATAATCACACTTGAGGCCTAGTGTCTATATAACCATTCCAATCGGCCCGCTTTGCATTGTGGTTAATCCCCTTAAGGAAACTAGAACAATGCAAACATACGATTTGGAGCGATTCACACGAATATATAGCCGATTGACAAAAGGTTATCGTCGACGGGTTTCACGAAACGCGATCGACTAGCCCGAACCTGGTTTTTGGGTAAAAATCAATAAGCTGACAAATTAGAGATTTGAACGCCTTTGTGATTGGAAGAATTGACACATGTGTGACAAACATTTCCAAATCGTAGGAATTTAATTATGCATGCATGTGATGTTGATTTTTGCATCTCACATTGTTTTCCAACATGGCGGGAAATACCACGTTCAAAGTTTGTCCCAAAGTTCTTAAAAAAGAGAATAAAAAACGAAACAAATTGACACTATGCTAGAAGGTGTTGCTATGCCTAATTTGCCAGTACATTGATTTTTACCCAGAAACCTGTTCGGGTGGTTTGTGTGCTACGAAGTCCAGTCGACGACAACCTTATACTATATATGGACATTGGTAAAAAACGCACTGCCCATGTCCACTGGTGCCGCTGAAATCTGCCTAATTTCCTTTGAAAAGCGATTTTTGTGAAAGTTTTTTACAATTTATAAGCTCGTGACTGATATATAAGATTCATATTTCCATCAATCATTGTTCATGATGGGTCCTTTTAGTATGTAGTTTCTATTTTTATCTTGTCATTTCTATTTTGAGAAAATGAGGTTTTTCGTAGTGTTTTCTGTGTTGTCGCTGTAAATCGCCAGGCGCTCTGTTTACAGATTTCAAGACGCGAGCGCCCACTGGCAGGAAAGCCCTGGGCATGCGCAGTGCGTTTTTCAACAGTGTCCTATATATGGATCGAGACTAAGCCTGAGAGTCCGTTTTTCAATTCGTGGGCGCAAAATAGGTTACTCTAAGGAAAAAACATTAGATTCTAACCAAAAAGGAAATCTTATAAAAAGTGTTGTGTGATTTATAAAGAATCGCAGTATTTCATTAAGTAAAATGTATCATACCCAGGGTAAGCCGCTGCTTCATATGTAGCTGGTATCGTTAGCTGTGGGATTGCCCTGGCGGTAAATTTGGTGATTGGTAAAATCCCTCTTCTTGCTCCTCTCACAGTACGTGCTAGCCCTGAAATAACCAATAGAAAAATTAACTTTAACCCTAGAAATCATTGCATCGCGACTTCAAAGTTCAAAAGAAGTCGTTTGGATTTGAGGTTTTTTTCTGCAACACGGGGGCTGAGATTACTACAATACACCAATGACTGGACGAGTTTACCTGAAAGGCTCTCAAAATATCCGCAGGAAAGACCAAAATCCAAACTAACTTCAAAACGAACAAGTCGTGGTGCAACGAGTTTGTTTAACACATAAGCAGGCTCGCATATAACTTAACTTGGCTCTACGTGTTTTCCTAAATGCAAAAGCGAAGAATGACAAGTCTTCCACTCGATTTTGCATACCGTTAAAAGATGGAGAACGTACCAATGTTTTGGTCGTTTGTCATCCGATCGATTGCTCATTTAATTCGACGAAGGTCCATCGTCCAAAAAGTCATTTAGTATAAAAGTTTTCTATCTTTTTTTTACAATAGAAAGTAGAATTATTCCTGCATGTTTCGGAAGAAAATCGAGTTCGACGTTAATCCAGCCTAGTCCCCAGTGGTCCTCGCTTCCAGTTTTACATGACGTCATTGGGGACAAGGCTTTAGATTCTGCGTTATTATGCCAGATAAAACTTGCATTCTAGTGCATGTGTTAAAAACGGTTTCACCAAATGCTAAATCATTGCAGCTGCACATTCGAGTCAGTGCGAATATAATGGAGATAAACAAGACCAAGTTAATTCTACCGATCATTTCGTAATGACATGCGTTGCTGCTTTCTGCGTGAACGGTTACATATGCAAAACACACCAAGTTGAAGGAACGTTTCTACATCCAAAAGGGACTGTAATATTTATTCATTCATACTTGAAATAAAAACCGATATTGCTGTTTAAATGCATATACGTGCATTCAATAACCTTTGCGCAACGATTTCCTCACATACGAAAATTCACCATATTAGATTTTGAACATTTGAACATGATTTGATTTGTAAAACAGGCCAGCGCAAAGGTTCTTGGGTTCACGTGGAACTTTAAACCAATTTCGTTCCAGCTTTTGTGGCTTGTAATAAGTGAACTATATTTTTATCGTAACTGTTTCTTCGACTTGGTGAAAATCTAAATTACAACAACGTTGGCATGAATAGAAAATAAACATTTAGAACAAAAGGTTTTTGGCAGATAAAACAGCGAAACCATTCTTGTTGCCAATTAAACCAAGCCAACACGGCAAAAAGCTGTTAATCGGCATTTTTTTTAAATCGTTGTTTGCCAACTAGTCCGTCAACCTCAGATTCCACCATCTTGTGAAGGTCAGCGGAAAAACATTTTACAAAACAAAATGGCGGAATTGATCTCTCTCGCGAGTTGACGAAGCAACGAATTAAAGATGTAATTAAGAGCATTTTTAAAATGTGGCCGTGCTGCCTATTTGTTAAAATTTGCCGGCATTTTTCAGATGTTTATTTTCATTATCAAATGACAATGTCTTTGCAATTAGTGACATACATATGACAATATGGTGGTAGAGTTGTGGAAAATGAAGAAATGCATATATGAAACGATTTGCAATTTTTCACTGTGTCATGTGGTATATCTGGTTAACAAAACGTGCGCATGCTCAGAGGATCATCATGAACGAGCAGTTTCTACGCATGCGCTTTTGGTCGCGAGACTACAATGAAATGACTGCAAAACCGTTTCTCGTTGAAAAAAAACTTGCATGACAGAATTTAAGATTGCGTGACACTGAAGATGCAAATGAGCGTCCCAATGCGGTTAACTCGAGACCAAAGGAGAGCAATTCAACAAGAGAGTAATTAACAACTTTAACACGAGCCATTGCCGAGTTAATCTTTGGGTAAATCATATAATTATCTGTGAGAAATTGCTCATGCAATAAGCATGCAAAATAGGTGCATCACATCACTCGCCACAACTCTAGTAATACTAGCTGTGTAACAGACAGACAGACAGACAGTGCATGCAGTACCGTTACTATGGGCTCCACGTGTGGGTGACGGGCTTTTTTTCGCGAGAGGACGAGGAGTTGCATTGTTGACCTATTGTATTGAATTAATAAGTGTCAATAGCTGTATAACATGCACAACCTGCACAACATGCATTGTGTCGATTTGYTATCTTAGACATTCACGAATTGGACGCTGCAAGCTGTGGGTTGTCAACTGAAGGATGCATCAAACAGATGTTGGTTAGTATAATATTAGCCATGGATGACAATTGAATGAGCAAAATCAACAATAACTTCTTAGAATATATACTCCATTCAAGGCTTTTTGATGCCGCTAACCCCCTCCCCTCCCCTTACCCCTTTCAAGTGGACRTGTGAGTACCAGACCCACTCGGCCAGTTACTCCAGTCAACTCTTTACTTAAGCACATTATTATAACGTTCGTTATTACGGACACCCCGATAGCACGGACACTTGTATAAATAAATCCAGACCCCAATGAAAATAACCCCCCTTAAAGCGGACACTCGCTATTGCGGGTACTTAATTAGGGTCCAAAGCATCCGTTGTAACTGTAGAGTTGACTGTACATTTTATTACACAGGACTATACAACCATAGCCAGTATAGATCATAACAAAAACTACGTCAAGTCGAGTCAGTTTTTCAATATATTACTGAATTTGCGACATACGCACCTCGATTTAAAACTAGACAGTTGTTCGGAAGTATCTCAAAATTCTTCTGAAAATGGTTTCCTGATTTGCGTTCCATTTAAGAATTGTAGGGTTTTTTTTCTTATAAGGCTCTTCTTTGTGCTCTTAAAAATCGCCGTGTTTTTTTTTTATGGCAACCCCTGACCCTTTATTAATAATAAATACAAACTCATTGGGCAGCATTGTATTGACTTCCTTGCACTCCAATCACACAGCAAGTCATTCGTTTTCTTAGCCGATCAAAATGGAGACACTTTACGCGACACTTTACGCAATACAMCTAAATCACAACACAAAACATAACGAAAAACTTGAAATAATTAGTCTTAATACCTCGACTTTTCTGCCATCCACGATTGTGCCATTTAATTTTTCCCGCGCTCTGTTCGCGTCGTCGCCATTACTGAACGTAACAAATCCAAACCCCTGGAAAACAAAGACAAGAAATTAAATTGCGAGACGACCCCTGCTCCCAAGATATTGTACAACAGGCAATGTTGAGCGATGCCATTTTCTGAAACAAAACATGATGTGAGTTCTAAAAAAAGTTTGCTTTTTTCCTGCACAAATAGAAGTAATAAAGAGATTTCTACAAAGACAATTTTATACGGCTTTTAGGGAGGTTCTTTATAGCCTATGAAAAGTGCGAGATCTACAAATCCCATGGCCGGGGTGCCAATTTGGAGTTTCTGGAAATTTGCATTTCTGCAATCTCTTAGGGTTTCGGAAAAGAAGAGAAAGAGCGCATCGATATTCATTTTCCTCTACGTTTTGTTTTGTCGTTACATGTAAATATTTTATGCATTTTATCATTGGAATTCTACTGATTTAATTTAACAATATTTGTTGTGCAATCTCGATCTTAGGGGTTGAAAATCAGTCAAACACGCCCTTTTTCCGGGATCTTTTAGGGTTTTTTTGAAAATTTGAGCATCCCCGGTACTTTTACCCCGGATGCTTTATGGGGTCGATGCGCTACACGTTGCTAAGCACGGCAACACTGCTGTAGGCTAAACGTCTGAGGAACAGCATGCCTGAATGATCACATGCATAAAACAGCCGTTTATTGTCTGACCGTTTAGAACAAATAGCGTCTACGTGTATACAAGATATGTAGGATCAAACACTAGAGATGCAATGTATTACATTATTAACTGATCTACCACAGGAAACCCAAAGGTTAAGGATTTCCTGTAATTAAGGTCGAGAAGGAATATTTTGCTGAGATTATAAAAGAATGGACTTTGAAAAATTATGAAATCGTTGGAACCATTCTTCAGATGTCATTACAAGAATAAACTTTAAATTATGACAAAAAAATATTTACTATTCGTATTTCCACACTCATCAATACAAATATAATACAATACAATAAACTTTATTTAAGGAGGGTGACACGGTTAACCCATAGAGTTATCGAACACGTGGCCCTCATCGCGTACGTTCAATACATTAATTTTTCTTTCCATTGAAACTGCCACTCAATATATTAGATCACTTTTTCTTACCCCTTGATCGATTGCTTTTTCACGCAACGAGTACCTTACGTGACGAGTTAATCAGCTTATGGGTTCTTATAGAAGCTTCACACGCATTTTACATAAACCTCTTAATTGGTTTTCCATGCTTTACGAAGAATTTGAACTGACACTTGAATGGGTTCTCGAGTTAACCAATCACACAAAACAATGGTATGTTACGAATTTGAGTATCTTTAAGACTATCCACTGTTTGATCAGATGTTCGATTGTGGCATTGAAATAGCTTCCCATTATGTGTAAAATGACGAAATGCAATTGGGAATGCACTTTATTGGCTTCTTTAAAGGTTTTTCTCAGTACATAAGCAAACACTTAAAGGGTTTCCCGAGGGCGTTTTCATAAAACAAAGGAGAAGAGTCGATCGTAATCGATATGGTTATCGATGGGAATCTTATAGGAACACTTAATTGGTTTCCTTTGAATAATTCTAGTTTATCTGACAAGAAGTTGATTAATTGAGTTTAATTAACTGTATTTTGTGATCATTTAACGATTTATTAAGTAATCCTATGGATTGATTAGTGAGTCAAATTGAATTAATTTCACGTAATTATCGAAGTGATGATCTTATTAAAATTTCACGGCTATATATAATGCGATATAATAAATAAAGCAAGCGGTTCTCCTACCTTAGATCCTCTTTCGTTGTAAATGATTTCAACGTCGACAACCGTGCCAAATTGCTGCAAGAATGATTCAAAAAACATATGTTTAAAATTAGCAGCATTACACAACTCTTTGACAGCTGAAGTATGTTTTTATTTAGGTGAGTTAATGCCGAATATCACATATATGGGGTTATTTGTCTATTCATGATAAAATTTTGAAAATAGTTAAGTCTTACCCCAAACATTTGCTTTAAATCGTTGTCTCGAAATCGGAATGGAATATTGGTGACGTGCAATCGTTTTTGCCCCGTTTCTTCACTTTGGCTGGCCGCCGTRGATACAGGTACTACAACTTGTTGTTGTTGCTGCTGCTGTTGTTGTTGTTGCTGCTGTTGTTGCTGCTGCTGCTGTAGTTGGACTTGTTGAGAAGTGTCAGTTGTGATGACGGGTTGAAGTTGAGCCGCGACATGGTTGTATGACTGGACCGCGGTCTGCTGTGAGTATGGGATCCCATTGGCTAATGGCTGCGGGAAGTACAAAGTATAAGAAATGAATGGACAGTGTGAGGTTACAAGCGCTAATAACGAGCTTTTGTGGCGCAAAAATGAAAAGGAAAATCGCCTAAAGAGGTATTATAATGACTACAAAAAGCTTCTTAATGATTGATGTTCTTAGTTCACTATTCAAATCAATGGAAAGTACATAGAATAAGATGAATAAACTTCATTTTAGAGGATTTTTCCATGCTCTGAGCTGACAAAAACACCTTGCAATGAGGTCATCGCACTATTTGACGAACTACCTGGTACAGAAGCGTGAAGGTCTGTTTCTATGTTTATCTTTTACACAATTAATAATTCAACACAGGGTTAATTGAATTTGCCAAAGAGAAGGCCTTTAATCACACTGCTAAACGGCTCACAACTCGATAAAACAACCGAATGTATCTTGCTAAAGAGCATTCATCAGCTTATTTGGAAATTACCTTTGTAATTGCGTTAATCAAGGAATTGTTCTGTGAACTTCTTCGCGAGAAAAGCAAAATTAGAAACAGCCGACTGAATAACAATTGAACCAGCCAGCGACTGTCACAAAGTAAATAATATATAGTGTCCTAGTTTAATAAGCTAATGTTTCACCCAATAAATTTTACTAAATTTTGCAAAAAAAAAAGAGGTTTAAAGGTATTTCGCTGTGAAAAGTGCACGCGAGAGCTCAAGATCAAGGCTTTGTTGGCACCGAGTGAAAAAATTAGTTCACCGATAACATGAACTTATCCAGGGTAGTATATAGTTTATAAAATAAACACCGACGGAAAAGGTAAAATCGTTTAAATCTTTTAGTAAAAACAAAACAAAAACAGCGCTCTTTTGTATTGTTTTCTCAGTGAAATGTTTTGAATGAGGCAAGGTACCATCATTCAAAGGAAATTCAACCTCCTGATTAGACAGAAATAAAGAGCTTTTTCTTAAAACAAAACGAACATTGTTGCGTTATATAGTTCATTTGAAAACCAGAATAAAACACATACAAAATAAACACGGCAGATATATATAATACAATATCAAAACCTGCTGAGTTTTGTCTCCGAGAATTTACCTCGACTTCCATAACAGTTTTGTTGTGTTTCTCGCGCGTCTTGTCAACACAAACCGAGTTTGTTCAGTAGGGTGATGGATATCTTGTCGAGTGTGAAACTTTCTTGTCAACTGCTCTGATAGCCTTAGATACATCAATAGCTACTAGGTAGATAGATATATGGACCCGTGGTCTCATAAAACATTCATAAGGCCCAATGATAATAGCAATTTCTTGTTTGCTTCAATTATTCAAGACCTATGTTAGTAATTAGAGGGCCAAGCCGAGTTTGGTTGGTCGGTCGTTGTGAAGTTTTCGTATGAAACATTTCCTAACAGTAAAGCTACCAACATCAAAGTGATTGTGGTTTTTTACGTAAATTCATTGAAGAGCTAATGTATTTGGATTTTCTTCTCCAATTGCTTTGTCGTTATTGTTGTTATTCCTTAATCCCCTTCATCGTTCATCGAGCATCGAGAGTTACTCTCAAAAACACCTGATTCGTGGATGAATCGAACTATGAAAATATCTCATCCAGAACTGAACATTTTCGAGTTATTACTTCAATCACAAAAGCCTCGGTGACTAATAGCGAACCAACCATTTCGAAACCAAGATTAAAGTTGAGTTTCGACGTCTTTTTAGAACTTTCAGTCAAAAAATAGTTTCAAATCTATCATAACAAAATATAAAGCGCGCGAAAATTCTCTATCTTCTTTTCTCTTTTCTGGAATTCCCTTCTTGTTCGCCTTTCAAAATCCTAAATAGTTTCAACCATTTTAAACTCAAATTAGTAACCAAAGTTACCAATTTTCGGAAATTTTCTGCTTGCAAGATTAGTTCAACGGAAAGACATCGCAACATAAGTATCTAAACTCGAAACGGAAATAAAAAATACCGCAACATCCCAGATTTCTAGAAAATACCCACATATCCTTTAGTTACTTAATTGATTGAATAGTAATGGTACTGTCATTTGTACAAACTCTACAGCTTCTTATATGTGTTGGTATCTGTAAACAGGTGCAAACGGATAGAGCTACTTTAAATATAGTCTTATCGCCGTTAAAGGGATCGTTTCGAAACTAATCTTTGATCGCTAGGTGTCCCTAGGCAGAATTGATCGAGAGAGTATTTGACGGATTAAGTTACGATGTACACAAACTATATATATATAGTATATAATATATATAATCGCAAAACTTTGCCACTCAAAGCGTAATCCATCATAGAAGATTATTCGCACGAAAACAATGTGCTAAAGATTTTTCAGACAAAATACTGACGATATTTGTCGTTATAATTGATGAGCGAGTTCAAATTTTTAAGGTCATAGAAGTTTTTCGATGTTACTTTGGTAATCTATGGATAATTTCGATTTGAATTCTGCTTTAGTTATATGTAGATATACTTACGAAGAACCCGTATAAACTGTAGTCCATCATACCGGCTTGATCCCTGATAAGATCTAACAGAGATACGATGTTATCCAGTCACAGAAAAGGTTACTGAAATCAATGAGTCCACTCCTCTGTCTTCAGGCCAAACAAGCCGCGGTTATGGTCAAACTCTCAAAGTCTAAACACATCAATTCTTATACATTCTCATAGGGTTCTTTAAACACTAGCTGGGCTTTTGTGAAGGCAAGCTATCGTGCACCAATTAAACGCCACAATGTCAGCCAATGACCGAGCAATGCAATTGAAATTGTCCACAAAGCACGTCTAATTTGGGAAGCGAACGAGCTCACGATCCTCTCTTAACAGCGAAACTTGACACCGATGTTAAAATACGGAAGAGGGACACGACCGTGAAAAAATGCAACCTAAAAATATCGTAAAATATTCGATAATTATTTTGTTTCAATTGTACAAACTTTGCTTAGTTGTTAGCACACTTGAGGAGTACACTGCAGGAGGTGTTTTACACAATGATGGAAGTGCTAGCGGTTTTCTTGAAGGGACACCAAGCACCATATATACTCGTCCCAGACACCAATTAAGTTACTTAAACAGAAAAAAAAGCTATGGAATATTGAAGAGGATCATAACCTAGTGACCTTGTTGATAAGTAGAAAGGCAGAAAACTATAGGGAAAATGATACTCAATTCTCAAGAAATTCATAAAAAACGGAGGAATTTTTTCATGACAGAACTCTAGAATTCAGCCAGAGTGAGGGGATCGGGGATCGTGAACTTGAAATTATTATATCAATTTGTTATTTTGAGTTTTCTAATGTTTTTCATTAACTAATAATGACGTTTTTAATGCTTTAAGCAAGTTATGTCGTAACCGAGTTTTACCTTTTTTTCGTTTTTGAATTTTTTTACTACATTCCCAAATTATTCTGCTACAAACTTGAAGAACTGTTTTGACTTCAAACTGTTCAAAATATGCTTTAAATTAAAAAAATAAGTCAAATAAAAAATATAGATTTACAAAGCAAAGAAAAGACAAGAAAAGAAAAAGAAAAGGCGAAAAGAAAAGCAACGCAAGAGCAAAGCAAAGCTAAGCTAAGAGCAAAGCAAAGCAAAACAAAGAAAAAAAAGCTGAAGAACAAAACAAATATGTGTCTTCGTTGCTGCTATTTCAGTTTCGGTGGATCAAAAGATTTCACTATAAGAAAAGAAAATGGCTGCGGTTTCCATATTTGTACATGTCAAACATTTATTGTATTTTGTTGTATTTTGACATTTTGTATCTTATGTATCAACTGGTAGGGAAAGGATTAAAGTTATTATTATTTATTGCCATACACGCGACATTTACAGAATCATTGCATAAACAAATTAAAAGTTTGAACCCAGAACACGAAGTCAACCAATTATTTTATTGTGAACAAACCTACAACAGCGAAGGTCAAAGTCATATCTGGTGAATTTCTTTCACAAGGGAGTGCATTTGCTCTGGGTCGCATTTGTCGACAAAAAGTTTTCTATTTGCATGACAAGGTGAAGTTCAGTATTGAGTGAGGAGCAAATCACGATATAGAAATCAAAATCATACAAATGATCCGCATTGTAACTGACGTGTGTCAATCTACTACTAAAGGAGAAACACACTTCAGAGTAAGAAAGCACACTTGATGATTTCTAATGCAGACAAATTGTGTGGTCAACTGCGAGTCAAATACTCGGACACTTCAAACAGTCGAGTCATTCAAAAGGCAATCGATCCGTTAAAGAGCGATTACACTATGAAAATTTCTTGTGAAAGCTTTTCTTTGTTGCTTCGCTCTGTTAAGACCCGTTTACACTTGCGATTCTTGAAGCGCGATTGTCGCGCGACAATCACCTGAGTTTCGAACATGCTTGAAATTTAGATGCATCGGAAATCGCCGCAACAATCGCAGGGCTGTTCACAAGTACGATTTGAGGTGCGCGAGAACAAAGTAGCGATTGTCGCGCGACAATCGCGCTGCAAAAAGCCAAAAAGTGTAAACGGGCCTTTACGACAACTTACGGAAACGTTATGACAAGCAAAAACGTTTCACACTTGTCGGTCAATATCGAGGTAACTTGGGTCACAACGAAACTGCTAGAGCGGATTTCGTATGAGTGGGAAACGGACGGTACTGTACTGTGACCGTAATCGTACTGTAACCAAATTCTAGTGCCCCATTGGCTCATCAAAATAGTGCAGGCCAGGTCCGGTAACTGTGCGGTAACCGTGCGGTAACGGTGTCCCACTCATACGAAATCCGCTCTATTTTTTGCAAGATAAGAGCGACGATTGGGTATGAATTCATAAACAAAATTGCTACCGAATTTTCTACGTAATTTTTTTTGTTTCGTCACAAGTTGGATGGAATATCCGTTGTAACCTGAACTATTTTGTATCATAGTATTGACGCCTTATAGCTTATAGACTACACATCCTACAGCAGACGTCCTGTGATTCAATTCAATTTATATCATACACAGTAGATCACAGTAGGTATGTGGGGTGTGGTTCCTAGTTTTACGACGAAGTCTTTGAAAGACTTTTTCTTAAAAATTACGATAAAATTACGATAAAACATTTTCGGACAGTTTTTTGTTTTGTTTGAATCCAAAAATACTCGTACAATTTTGCAGTCAATCGCTCTCTTTACAGTCTTGAGACCACAAAACAAAAGCTGGAACTCCCCCTCATAAAACTCCTGCCCACGCCTCTGTCTCATGCGAATTATACTTAATAGTCAAATACATGCTTTTAGATGCATTAAAAGCGCTTGGTTTTTAGAAATGCCATTAACATTAAAAAAAAGGTTAAAAAAAGACAACAACAAACAAACAAAAATGATAGAAAGAAATAGAAAAGACCGTTACTAAAACAATGGGAATAGACTTCAGAATCTTTTACATCACCTTGATTTAAAATGCAATGTGGGATCAGTTTCTTGATTAGAAATCCGCCATGTTTTATCCAAAACATATGTAAACATGTAAAGATTCGAGGTCTGTTTGACGAGAAATAATTCGAGGCAGCCGTTTTGATGATTTCTGCGTAAACTTTTCCCATTCTCCAATCGTTCACGGCATGAACGACGAACAAGCGTACTTAGATGAGCTCTAAGGTGGAAGCCAATACGCTGGCCTATTATTTTATTCCTTTGAATTAGTGACTTCGGAGTCAAAATACATAGCTAAACTTGGAAACGAATCCATGACCGGATTTAGAGATTTGGAATAAAAACATGGCGCGTAAAACTAAGTCGTCATCGTATTGAATTATCGTTGTCATCCTTAAAAATAATCATCAATAGTTTTTGAGCGAAAAAAAAAGCATCATAAAAGCTGAATGATGACGGTGAGAACAATATTTCAATTCCACAACTCAAAAATTCGAAAATTAGGGCACCCACGTGACAATTTTCGGTAAACTTTGATCATGTCATCTGGCGCAAACCCCAAACGGCGATCCTCGTATTTTATTTATTTTTTGTGTGGAGTCCACCTAGGATAATAACTGCACAAAGTCGCAGCAAATATCGATCAGCGGTCCTTTTAACACGGAATGTCCATAATTGACAACGTGAATCAAGGCGGAGGCGGTGTTGGTATTTTCGTTCATTGTGGCAGAAAGCCACTACTGACGCAAAATGTTAACAAAATCGAACTAAATGAGCTCTAGAAGTATTACAAAGCTATTGAAATCGAATACAATAAATTCAATAACAAGGGTCGTAAATCGTCAAATCTGTCAGAAAATACTATAAACGAAAAGACGCCAAATGCGTGCTGACGAGTGAGGATAATTAGCTATACAAAAAGCCATTTTAGTGCAATGTTTATCAATGTTATAAAGCCAATAAAGTGCCACCGGCGTAAAACGATTAAGAATTCGAAAAGAAACCTTTCAAGTGCCACTAGCGTAAAAGGACGTTTTTTAGTAACCAATCACGTTTTGACAATGGTCATTATTTTTTAAAAGCGCTATTTCCGATGAAAGGCGGGGTTCGGTTTTATTTTTATATTAACAAAGTCATTCTATCGAAATATTTAATCATTTTATAACGACGCCTCTATATCAAGGACACCTCTATATTACGGACACCTGTATATTACGGACCTATGTCGATTACGGACACCTCAATATTGCAGACACTTTCAATAAATTGTACATCTCTTAATTACGCACACCTTTATATTACGGACACCTCTATATTACGGAAACCTCTATATTACAGAATCTTACGGACACCTCTATATTACGGACACCTCTATATATTGCAGACACCTTTAATAAATTGTACACCTCTTAATTACGGACACTTTTATATTACGGACACCTCTATATTGCAGACACTTCTATATTACGGACACCTCTAAATTACGAGCACCTATGTATTATAGACACCTCTATATTGCAGACAATTTTAATAAATTGTACACCTCTTAATTACGGACACCTTTATATTACGGACACCTCTATATTACGGAMACCTCTATATTACAGAATCTTACGGACACCTCTATATTACGGACACCTCTATATATTGCAGACACYTTTAATAAATTGTACACCTCTTAATTACGGACACTTTTATATTACGGACACCTCTATATTGCAGACACTTC